CTCCGGTTTCAAAGGTGGCAACTATACATCCGGTTAAGCCTGCTGGGATTACGGTGAGCAATTTGGCGTCCAACGCATATAACTAAAATCAGCACTTGAAAAAACAGGTTTTACCATTTCGGGCATCTTCCTAGGTGTCCGTGGGTAACAGTTCAGTTATCACTGCCCCCTGCACATCCCTACATGACAACGCATGTCTTTCAGCAAGGCCAGAATTCCTGGTTTGTAACCGTTACGGAAGAGTAGGCTTCTTCAAGGAGTAGTTCCTGATTAGCTCTAATGAAATACTGAGGGAGAACATAAGAAGGATTTCTAGTCGCAGTAAACAAAGTTGCTATAAGAAGATCTGGCGTACTCGCCTGAACTTGTGTACACTTTTGAGTGGATAGTATCTATTATAAATCAATGGACATTGAGTAGAGCACAAACAACAAAGTGATTACGGGTTAAAAATGCTGGATCCGAGAGGACTCGGTCGGACTAGAACGTTGATTTTGACTGTTCGATCGATGAAAGACAGAAGAATTCAGTGCTGTTCACAATAAAGTTATCTTTTGGCATGAGGTCGAATGAAACGAAAACGCTATAAAAGACGCTCACGGCGATGGGAACTCTAATGATATTAGTAATTTTAATTGCTATACACGTAGGACAAAAACTGAATTGAGCGTCGTACCAGCTATCCTGTTTATTTCACCTCCCTCCATCCATAACGTTTGTGAAGGACAATTTATCACGAAGTTTGGCAACATAAAAGCAGAGCCAGAAACATATCTGTCGATCTGTTTGACAGTCACAATTTGGGTATATATGGCCGTAATAATAATAATTATACACTGGTCTCAAGACAAAAACCTCGGCTGCGCATTCTGTACGGAATTAAACTAGAGAAGAAGTCATGTTGGAAATCTGATTGTAGATTGTTTGTAGTGGTTTACTGATATTCACCATATAATTTATCAACAACAAGAAAAAACATTCCATCGCGTGCCATGTCACCAAATAGGGGTACTTTCCGTTTTGCTGCTCACCAACATGTTGACTTGCGCTTATCATTGGTACTGTATAGCTGAAACGTTCACTTCTCTGTGTAACATTTATGCGCAGGTGGATAAGCGGATATCTTCCCGAAATCTAGTTTCCTACTGGGGCCACGAAACACTTCAGTGAGGAAGTAATGCTGTTCGACAGTTCAGCTCCTTTCGAACAGATCTCCGAAGACGATTGCGTAGCATTTTTTAGTGGTCTCAACACTGCTGGATTTTGCGGAATGGCTATTCCTAAATCAACTGGAAAAGGTTTGGAACCGACTGAGAAGTCATAGTTTCAGAAGAGCTTGGTGAACAACCGGTAGTTTTTATTTGGGCAACGTTTCGCATTTGACACAAAAGCTTCATCAGGCCAAATGAACAGGTCACCAAATTGGCCAGGTTATGAGACAGACGGGGAACCAAGCAGTAAGTCCTTTTCACACTAGACCAGTGTTGGGTGTCAATTAACGGCTATTGTTGGCTAGTGTGGGTGCCAAAATCTTGAATTGATTGGTTGAACGACTTCCAAATTTGGTCCGATCGCTTTTCGTTCCTTAATCTTCCACTTCAGGGTGCTTCACTCGATCACTCAACTTGGGTGCCGCCGTTAGATTTTCCCTGGTCTTTGTGGGGTTGTGAGTGCTCCGAGAATTTATTTTGAGGGGTTTGAGGCCAAGTGGAATTCGGATGATGACCACTCTGATGAAGCACACACGTGTTAGCTTGAGTGACCCAAGGCCGTTCTACACACACTAGCCAGTTCCAAGCCTTCTATCCTTTTAACACTGGGGTGGATTTGTACAGTCCCGGCAGTTAGTTTCTGTGACGTGGACCGCAGTCCTCGCCTCAGGACCAATATTTTTCAAATATGTTTTGTTTCTCGTGTCCAGTGCATGTTCCGCAGTTGCCGAGTCTTTCAGTAACGCTCGATATTGATCCGCGTTCCTCAGCGGCCTGTTTATTTTTCTACTATACTCCCCGATTCTGATGTGAATTTCCATGGTCGTGTGTTCTACATAGACTATAGTGCAGGCGTTACACTTAATTTTGTAGGCACGGTCCCCCTGGTTCTGTTTGCCTTCAATTGCACCAGCGCAGACTGTTCCCCCTCTGGAAAGCTACCCCTATGTTGCCCATGTTTCATTTAATTTTGTAGACGCAGTCTCAGGTTCTGTCTGCCGAGAGAGGCTCCTTAAATTGCACCAGTGCAAAGTGCACTGTTATGTTGCCCGTGTTTAGAATTCTTCGAATTTAATTAGATCCGATGGCTGTATATCTTTGTAATATACTACTCATAAGGTTGCTGAAAATCCACCGACAGCCGACGACCGGTTTCGCCCTTCTTGGGGCTCATCAGGTAAGCGCAGTCCCCGGGGTTTCCGTCAACCTTACGTTCTACTTGAAACCAAATCGCACGAAATTAGCGAATATACACTCATCTGCAACCTAATTTGGTTCTTTCGAGAGACTCACCTGGAACCCTGCTGAATCTCTCGTTTATGATGATCTTGTGAGTAGTACATTACAGAGATATACATGTATCGCGATATTTCAAATATCGTAGCGACTGAAACATGAGGCGACCTGGTGCAGAACATTCAGTTGCCTGAAAACATTATAAACGAGAGATTCAGCTGGGTTCCAGGTGAGTCTCTCGAAAGAACCAAATTAGTTTGCAGATGAGTGTATATTCGCTAATTTCGTGCGATTTGGTTTCAAGTAGAACGTAAGGTTGACGGAAACCCCGGGGACTGCGCTTACCTGATGAGCCCCAAGAAGGGCGAAACCGGTCGTCGGCTGTCGGTGGATTTTCAGCAACCTTATGAGTAGTATATTACAAAGATATACAGCCATCGGATCTAATTTGGAACTCGTTCAACCCATCAATTCAAGATTTTGGCACCCACGCCAGCCAAAAAGAGCCGTTAATTGACACCCAACACTGATCTAGTGTGAAGAGGACTTACTGATTTGTTCCCCGTCTGTCTTATAACCTGGCCAATTTGGTGACCTGTTCATTTGGCCTGATGAAGCTTTTGTGTCAAATGCGAAACGTTGCCCAAATTAAAACTACCGGTTGTTCACTAAGCCCTTCTGAAACTATTCTTGAAAGTTAGCAATTGTATGTTTCCGTCAATTTCTAGATGCTCAATTTAGAGCCGGTACACTAAGACAACATTTCATTCACACTCGTTCTAATGACGGACTTCCGCAGAGATTTTGGTAAGATGGATTCGCACTTCTGAGACAGCCAACGCTCATGAAGATCGTGACACGCCTTAAAATGGTATGGTTCCCAACTCTAAATCATGATTTCACTTGTCATATTCGTGCAAAACATCAATGGGGCTAACCAAACCTGAGCGCGTAATTCAGCTTATCTTTTACCAAATTGTGCAAAACTCCCATCCCTCAAAGCCCATTTTATCTTTCCAGCTGCATACTACACTTTTCCTTAGAAAGCGCCCTACTACTGCGGATGGATTTGTTTTTCAAATTGTGTCCAGGATAGCCTGGCAACCAAACGTCCTGGGGACAATCTTTGAAATTTTCAAGTGTGCATCACGTCACGAAATCATGTCAGAATGTCGTTTTTCATACCTGGGGTTGAAATAAGTACTGCAATGATCGACCTTTTGATATCGCAGATTTCTGGTGTGCGTTAAACATAAGATGCATATTACAAATAGAAATAAAAGCCCGTGTAGTTCCGGCTTTTCTCAGTCCACTGTGTAAATTCCATGCTGTCACTTGAAAACGAAACTCAATGGGTATTCCAGATGACACTTACCGTCATTAGTTTAAAGTGCTCTTATTCTCGGACCTTCATAAGATATGTACACCGTTTTGGCGCCAGCCTGTCAAACACAAACTCTAGACAGCCGTATGGCTCCACTCTTTTTAACAGCTTCTAAATGGCACACACGCTAGTTGTTTATTAAACGACGTCGGCATCCTTTCCCCCACCTGCTGTTACCGAATATCCTGTGGTCTTTTTATTTTCTTATTACCGTACTTCGAGGTTAGAAAATGTCTGTACAGCGAATCTGAACACTATTCATGCAGATCCTTTCGAGATTCCCGGTAAACAAGCAATATTTTCCTACCCGTCGATCATGGTAGGGATTTGTGCGTGGTTCTTGAATGGAATGGATGAACTAGTATGTCGCTTACATAGACAAGTCCACTGGTCATTCACGACCAAATGCTCAGCATGTGAACTCGGAATATCCGTTCGTGAAACCTCAAAAGTTGCCGACGCTGGATGCAAACCGGGTTCATTACGGAATAGACTAGCGATCATTACAAGCTTTCGCATCCTGTCAGTAAACGAACACGATTCGCTCATTTATTTGTGTGCATAAAATCAAAATATTCAGGAATCTAATTAGTATAACTATCGAGTGATTGATTTGACTGGCTTGAACATTTTAAGCCAAGCGGAAACCAAGTTTGGCATATTAAACGGGGGTTTCCACTGTTGACTATCAGTGGTGCCGACATTATCAACAGAATTAAAGGTCATCTAATAGATAGCAAATTTAAGAAGACTGAAGAAACTAGATGAGTTCACCAGTACACAATTATGAAAATGGAAATTTTCTGAGTTGAAGCTCTTGAATTCTTACTGTAATCAATAGCAAATCTCAGTCGTCATCCTCTCATATAAGTTATGCCCAAACAGCTGTCGCTACTGGTATGTACCTGATTGGATGGATGAACTAATGACGTCCTTCACTTAAAATTTACAATCAAATGCGTGAAGTAATACTTGTTGGGGTGATTCAATCCCTCCGAAGAAAGACAGCTAGGTGGTATTGGGCCAAACTGGTATCACATCGGCTTCTGTGCTTGGTTAAAAGGCTGTGCGCTTTCCTAAGACATGAGTCACGTGACATTTTAGAATTATCCGTAGAACGATAGGGTTTTAATCGATCGTATCGTTCAAATACGACAACGAACTTGTAGATGACGCATCAAAAAGCCACCACATTCCTTAGTATTCTTTTGTATACTCTGTTTGTCGCTGCCCAGGAGGACACGATTGAGAAAGAAGGGCTTGTTGAAAAGATAGTGGACGCACTCTCGGAAACCAAAGTGAACGTACTGGCACAATACAAACAGGATTTATTCAAACCGTTAACCGGTCCCTTCTTCAAACCTGTGTGGGAATTAGGATCGCCATACAATGTATTCGGAACAATAGGTTTCCCCCAGCTCAACGAAATGGAAAGTGAAATCATATCTCCTCGCTTCGTACAGAATAAGTCTATTGCGTTCTATGTAAGTCATTTTCTCAAACATATGTTTCAGCGCCCCGGGTACATTAGAAAGTTATCGAAGAGATTGGTTGATTACCGAATTTGCCCCCTTTTTAAGATCACTGTCGATCTTGATTGGTAAACTCAGAACTATTAAAACAGCAAAGATCGTTAAAACAATCCATGAGCTATGCCATCCGCGACACCATCAGTTGGTCATTTGGAAACTCACTTTCCATACAGAATAGTTAACAAAGCGGTTTTAACTAGATCAACATTAATGGCTTCCACTTGGAGAGCTTGTAAAGAAAAAATGGCTTTAGCTTGTCAGTAAGCCTCAGTTAGGTTCACCGACATATATTACTCTGAAAGTGAATTTGGAGGAATGACTCGTGTGTTTAGATGGTCAGTTCTACTCAGTGTTCTCCCCAAATACCATTTCTGATGAGCAGTAACAAAACAGCATTTCGTCCTCAAAGAGCTTCATTCAACCCCGTCGTTCAGTGCCCTTCACTGCACCATCAACTGTTGAAAATTTCGTACGCGGTGAAAAGCTTTGGCACAGTTATTCCTCGAGGCATTTACATTTCCAAATAGCTACACACTAGTAACATCCGGCTATTAAATCATGAAGGAACTAGCGGGAAATCTGAGATTATACACAATCAATATCTCTTCTCCATAGTTTCTAACTGTCTCTCTCTATATTTGCATTCAAATAGTAATACTGAGATGAGGCTTAATCCTAGATCATTTTTAACTTGTCCAAAGCAGGGTCTTAAGCGGTCGGATTTTTGAACTGCTTTCTCGGGTATTTAATACAACGTGTTCAGAGAGTTGTTTGACTTGAATTTTATTTTAAAATTGAGTAAATCTGTAAATGATTTTCTCAGTATGCGAGGCCTGGTGTAACTTTCACCATGCCTACGTGAGAGCAATCAACTAGCCAATTTTTTGGTTCAAAATACGGGCCTTCTGGCCACTATACCTTTGTTATAACCGCTTAAATCTACCAAGTGATGGTGAAAAATGAGATAAAGATTAAACAATTGGACCGTACTACGTTTTATTCGACACTACCAGATTTGGAGGCTCTCCTGGAAAGGATGTCATGTTTAACCCCTAATAAACGATGATCTGACTTCGAAGTAGGTGGGTGCTATATTATCTGAGTAATGTGCTTCTGTTCTGTGGTAATCTTGTGCTTTCGAATCAAAGTGTGACATCTGCCGACATTTACATGTAACTCTTCCACTATTATTCTGAAAAGAACCGATGCACTTGCGGTGAAAACATGTTAATTTCCAGTTGTCTATCGTTTGGAGTTTCGGCCAACTCAAGTAACCTTCTCCATGAGCGGAAAATTCAGAGATGTAAAAATGAAATATACGTTAAAATGAAATATAGCATTTAAACTCACACGAAAGTCCTTTGGCTTGCTAGTAAGATGCGTTCGGTTACGTGGTTTTAGGACAAAACCACAACTCCACGCTTCTGGTTGGTGTGATTGCTGACAAGACCCAACCATTCAGCTGATATACGTTTACTCGATAGTATGCAGCTCAATCTTGCCGGTGTCCTTCGTCATTCCATCATGTCTGGGCCTCACCAGAATCTGCCACTTTGTGTGTTGCAATAATCCTGTGGGCTAGACCAGCTTGAATTACTTTCTACAATGTGCTACAAAAGTCGAAGGATGCAACCAGATAAGGGTAAGCGGGCACTCGCTTACAGATGTTCCAGAAGTGAAACGTCTATGCCTCACTCCTTGTGCATTGGAGCCTCTAACTGAAAAGGTCAGATTATCGAGTAATTGCCTTCGGTTGCCCTCCCTTCGAAAATCCTCCCGCTCAAGCTTTCCAGAGAGAGACTCAAGATGGGTTCCTCAAACAAAGCGCTTCCTCCACCGGGCAACCAGAAGATGTCTTCCGCTCTTGAAGATGTTCTTTCACCCACCCATCCCGCCCACTCACCAAATGATGCACTGAGATCAATCCATCTACCAGACCCCTAACAATTATTTCGTATCTAAACTACCTCCAAGAAAAGTTAACCGAAATAATCCCGTACCAAACCAAAAAGATCTCAACTACATCACAGTTTCTCTGTCAAATTGGGCAGCAGACATGTGCAGCTGAAACTTGCTTCAATTTCTATCGATGTACGTTGGAATTCAGGGACACGCTCACAAGATTTCACTTCGGTCATGCAACTCACGCTCCTTAGAAGAGCTCAGGCTTTTTCTCATGTTCCACGCTTCGAATAGTTAATGATCTTGATGCAATGGCTCGTTGTATCTATGTTATGGCATCTACATTCAGCTTCAGGTCTGAAAGCTTTTTGCAGCACTCGATCCAGTCGTCTTTGTGCTATAACGCTGCCTAGCACAATTACGATCATTGCAGGTCAGTGCGGGGGAGGTGCTTATTTGTCACGTCAGCACAAGCCCCGAAAGACTTCCGTTTACATGCCGGGAAGATTGGTTTTACTGAGATCTGCTTGGTCAGGAAGGACGGATACTGTCATATTGGCGGGTGATATGAAAGCCGAATTTGGACGCTTGAACTCGGAAGAAGCACGGATGTGTGGTGGATTCGGAGTCCACCCTAGGCGTTCAGGTGGTGAATCGTGACTTCCGCGGCCGTGTGTCGAAGACCGTCTGTTCCTGGTCAGTATGTGCTTTCAGTGCAAGTTCACAGTTAGTAATTTGGAGGGCACGAACTTCAAGCTGGTCATGGACTCAAGTGGACTCGTATTTGGTTGTCAGTCACCGATGGAGAACCGCAACTAAATATTGCCGTTATTTCTGAGGTACTCGACTCGACTCCAATCATGTCATTGTGCGGCTCATGTTAGTTTCCCTCAGGATTACACCTGCCAAAGCAGACAACTTCTGTTCATCAATTCCGACAAAGTTGAGTAACTTAACAATAGTGATTACTCGTTCGAAAACTATGCTTCAGGCACGATGGACTGACCAACAGCATGGTTAACTCGCACTCAGGTAGGATAAGGCTGAAATACAATTTTTGCGAAACTTTATGAAAAGCTTCTTCCACTATGCCTCGCAAGTATGCTAAGGAAATTTCGACAAAACTCCGGACCCTGCAACTCCGTTTATGAGTCAACGATACTGACGACGTCCTAATAGAAGGATGCCAGTGGGATGACTGTCTGTGATGATGATGATGGCTGTCTGTGACATCGGTGGCGAAATATCGCCGCAACATAAATCAACAAAACCCGACTATTAAATCCAACTTTCATTTACTTGCTCCACTCATGTACTTTTGACTAACCACCTCCCTTAGTCCGCTGTCCCCTCACCTTGACGCAAAGGTCGTCCGACACTGGTAGACTGGTATGCACGTGTGCGTGTGTAACCGAGCTACGAACCCATGCAAGTTCGTGCCGCGTCTGTTTGGCCTTCTCCGGCTTGTTCTGCTCTCGCACCGCTAATCGGAATTACTGGATTGGACTTTGGAGGGTGAGACCAAACACCCACACCACTGAGCCACCATCCTGCACGCCGTTGTCTGGTTTGCGGACCTTCAAGCCACACTAGGCCGATCAGTGGGTTGCACAAGTATGGACTTCAATAGCGCGGACAACCGAAGTTTGGCGTGTGGTTTCTCTTAAATTGGTGCTCAGTATTCGCACAACGGAATAGAATTTTCGAAAGCTATGACGTGTCCTTGATGGACTAACGTAATCGGACAGTTGAGTTCAGAGTATCAGTCCAAACTTCTGAGCCCCGTTTAGGCATCCCGGGGCCTTACCGAGGCTTGGAAATTACTTCACCAGCCTTTCTGCCAGAGGTATAATTGCTTCAGTGGACGATAAAATTTGGTGAGCTGCAAAAATATGAACGTAGATTAAAATGGTTTTTGGTTCTAGCGTCTATGCAACACAATGCAAAGTCTAGACGCAAAAAGTTTTATTCCACTTGTAAAGTTGTTGCAGCTGAGAGCATTGTGCGGCTAATGGATGCCCTTACGTTCGTGTAAATAGTATCCTAGCCTCTCAAACCTAATTCTTCCTTTTGATATTCGGGACCGTCAAACATACGGGTGACACAAAGAATCTCAACACCGTGGTTTGCGTGAGATTACGCATGGTTTGAGTTCCAATTATCTATCCTAACTTAGGGAGAAACTAACTGCTGCGGTGATTCACACAAAAATTCTCGACTGCTGCGAAACCGTGTCGCACGTAGTGAAGTGATCAGTCAGGTGTAAAGCATCCTCGCGTAAACTGAGAAGACCGAGTTTTGAGTTTGAATTGGCTATTTAAAAGCCCACAAATGATGTTCAGAGGACACACCACATTCCGTTAACGAGTTGGAAGGTTTCAGTACTAACAGAGACTGTGTTCTTCATCTCGATGGAATGAAAACATTTCCAATCAATTGGAACCGATTGAGAAGTCATCTTTTCAGAGCAATGTTTCGCTTTTGACACAAACGCTTTGCAGGCAGGGTCAGCAGGCCACCACCACACTCTGTGCTCTGCACTGGTGCAATTGAAGGACCACCTCCCGGCAGACAGAACCAGGGACTGTGTCTACAAAATTAAGTGTAACGATTGCACTAAGGTCTATGTAGGACAGACGGCCAAGGAACTTCACACCAGAATAGGAGAGTATAGTGGAAAAAGAAACAGGCCACTGCGAAATGCGGATGAATATCGAGCGTTACTGAAAGACTCGGTAATTGCGGAACACGCACTGGGCACGGGACGCCAAACAGATTATGAAGATATTGGTTTTCAGGAGAGGACTGCGGTCCTATTCACAGAGACTGATGGCCAGAGTGGTAGAAATCACCAAGCATCCCAGTTTTTTTTAGAATATAAGGCATGGAACTGACAAGGGTGTGGAGAACGGTTTTGGATCAGTCGAGCTGAGACGTTCTAGTGTGCGGTCATCAGAAGGAGGAGGAGTCATCTGAATTCCACTTGACCTCAACCCCCCCCTCAAACTAAATTGTCGCAGCACTCACAAGCCCACACAGACCGACGAAATCCACCAGCGGCATTCGGGTGAATAATCAATTGAAGCACCCTGACGTGGAAGATCAGAGTTAATTCGAAACTCACCCAACCCATTAAAGTAAAATTTAGGCAACCACAGTGACCGACAAGAGCCATTAATTGACACCCAACACTGATCTAATTTGATAATCTGAAGAGGACTTACTGATTGGTTCTCCGTCTGCCTTAAAACTTAGCCAGTGTGGTGACCTGCTCACCTGATGAATCTTTTGTTCAACAGCGAAGAGTTAATTCGAAACTCACCCAACCCATTAAAGTAAAATTTAGGCAACCACAGTGACCGACAAGAGCCATTAATTGACACCCAACACTGATCTAATTTGATAATCTGAAGAGGACTTACTGATTGGTTCTCCGTCTGCCTTAAAACTTAGCCAGTGTGGTGACCTGCTCACCTGATGAATCTTTTGTGTCAACAGCGAAACGTTGTCTAATTGAAAACTACCGGTTTTTACCAAGTCCTTCTGAACTACAGAAATTGTTTCGCGGTTAAAGCGTTTTTCCTTTGAGTCCCCGTGTCCGGGTAAATTGTGCTACTTTTCTCAGTAGTGCGTCTCGTGAAAGAAATGCGATAATGAATCGACTCTATTGAAGTAGCAGACATTGGATCCCCTAACCAATATTCCTACAATTTTGAACGATTTCTTCGAAGTTGAGATGAATTAAGGGTTGCTCATCATTTTTCTATTTGAGTATCAGTCCGTGGAATCTCCAGAGCTTCGCAGAAGCATGTGTCAAAATTGACCTCCATTAAATTATACGTACGTGTATTGTTCTGGTGGAGAATCTGGTGTTTGCCTTCAATTTATTTCTACTGTCCATGAGTGAGCACGCATTTGTCCTAATTCTCTTACGTTACCCGCAAATTACCACACGATGACACAACTTCGCCTCATTGGAAAATGTATTCTCAGGTGTAACGTTCGGAAATGTTGTAGTCATACAGTTTATTGAACTTCTGATCTACTTTCGAGGAACAGCGATACCAGCATTACCAGTATCGGCTGAACGGCAGTAAGTATATTTCAAAAATCGGTTTGAGGCAGTTTACCAAATGTTTTCTAAATGTTTCAAAATCTATCGCATAACAGTGAGTTGGCAACAGGTGAAATAAAATGCAAAATTGGATGATAACTGTTGAAAAGTAATTAGTGATTTGGTGAAATGGATTCCTTTTCGAACACTCGCTATCCAAAAGTTGGTATAATGTTCTTGTACATATTACCAATCCCCCCATCGTCATAGTTAAAACGTATTTAGTAGACTTTTATATTTACGTCGTTCATATTAAATCGGCATTTTAGGAAGTGGAAGATGGAGGGTACCGGTTGTACAAGTTGTCGGTCAATGTGTCCTTCTTCGATGTATTCAAGTCCGTATTGGAAGCACTTCACACAGAAAACACGTCTACCTTGTATAGTCCAGCCGACTGTGCAGTCTCGCTGAACACAACTTTGGAACGTGTAAAATACCAGGAAACCGTTCGTCCTCGATTCTTTCTTCCGATATTTGTGGATATTCATAGAATACTTCTCAGATCTCACGAACAGTGCGAAGAAATGGGTAAGCTAACAGTTAGCGCTGGAATCTGATCTTTTATTTTCTGTCTAACTGAATCCAGTGTGAACGCACGTTTTCCTCATTATTTGTGGGCGTAATCCGCTGCTGATGGATTACTTTCGAAACGGTGTTCTGCGTCAGTTTAGTAATGAGAATAAAAGAAATATAGTCAACCTGAAAACTCACAAGCCGTATTAGGACATCGCTTATCTATATGCAAAAACTAGTGACTTTTCCAGACTTCTGTATCACACAATGCAGAGATTTAACTCACGCGTAATATGCTGCCTTGCCAGTGGGCAAAAGAAGTATCTGTTACTTTGATCCACTTTAAACAAACTGGTCGGGTAGATACTCTTAAGTACTTTACCATGACGATTATTTTCATCTCATCACCTTGTTTCTTGTTATACTATTTACTCTCCATCATTGTACCAAGGGAAGCCGAGTACCGAAAATTCGCTCGTCAGCTGGGACTTCTCTATGAAGGTATACAAACAACTTACTACTTCGTACCACCGTACTTCTCGTAATTAAAATGTCATTTTATCGATTTTGACGATACTTCCTAGATATCTCACAGCCATCGCTAAACGGCTAGAACGAGTTAATACATACGAAGATACTTCTGCTGTAGCTAACTTTTCGTAAAAAGCTAAATGTAGCGTCCAGTAAGTTAGGTGACTTTTACCAGCAGTTGCATCAGACTTTCTCTCCTCTTGGTTCCCCAGGAACCTTTCACAACTTCAGTAATGCGTGTCCGCGGACAAGCTTTTCCAGTAATTATGTGGAGACAACTGACGCTGTCTAAGTATGAGCTAAGTTAACTCCTTTATAGGATGAGTTCGTAATCGGGGGTGAGGGTTGTTTTGTACTGCAGTATCTCTAGACGACACTTCGATCTAGGTGTCTGGTTTATTCTGAACTCCATACACTTCAGCCGCAGGTTTGGTTTTGGCTGCAGTAAAACTAGTTCCACCTTACTAGATGGTCATGTCATACTGTCGATAATCAACTCTCTACTTTCGTTTTCCAACATTTGTGATATTCAGTCTAAGGAGCAGTCAGGCAGAAGTTGCTCTCCTGAAGAAAATACTAAACTATCAGTCATAAAAGTAGTATATTTCGCGAAAGACTCAGTCTTCGGAAGAACTGGTGTCATGGTTTATGGACCGATTTCAAAAAAGATCGAATTTAGATGGTCTTTTGAAACATATTTCAGATCTCTGTTCTCCTCTTAATTAGGCGCTTTCAGGTGGTCTCTAAGCGGGTGAGACATTTTTCAGGCTACATTCTAGAAATAATCACTTTTGTTTGTTGCTTGAGTAGTGACCACTGCGAAGTTCTCGCCTGAAAATCCGTTTCCTGGGTATTCTGTGTAGGGAGGTAGCTGTAGCAGCAAAAGTTGGTTCGTTGCTATGTCCTTGGAAGGGAGCGCATTAGAAACTATAATACTTAGCCACAATTTCACGTAGGAAGAGTATGACTGTCTGCTGAATAATGTGACGGGCGCACGGTGGCGTAAGTCCCATTGCTCAACGATGGCCGCTCCACTAAGGTGACTACATTTGATTTGCCCCTTTAAGCTTCTTTTGACATATTGACCTGCTTTGCAGAAATCACATAAGAAGAGCCCTTTCAGTTGATCCCTTTAAAAAGAATGAAGAACGTGTCATGTGGCCAAACATCATGTTTTGAGGTTGTTAGTTCCTTGAGGATTAAAATAAACTCTGAATGTTAGGATGGATATGAGATACCATTAAAAGGCTCATGAATATTGGTCTGTTCTGGAAGAGTAGTAAATATTTAGCGGTCATTGTTGAAGATGTCGTTTCTTAAAGAATCCTTCTGATGACTTTTGGTTCATTTTCAGAACTGTTAGGCTAGCGCCTGAAATAAAGACAGGAAATAATTACTCCCATCCACTTCTATTAGTTCAGGTCACAGCTGGAATAGCCTGTGGCCGTTACTTGTCTGGTTACATTTATGGAGACTTGATCACCGGTGAACACACTTACCGTAGAAGTGGTGCAAACCCCAATGTTCGTACCTTAGGCGTAGGGCGCTTTCCTTGATGGTGAACAGGATCTGCAGCCTGTGCAGTTCGTTGTTTTTGTTCAGGAAGACGAAACATCTGTTACGAGGTGTTGACAGTTCTTCTGCTGGGTTAAGCTGTCAGTGCAAAATGTGCGAGAGTGTGTAGCATAAAGAAAGCCATATATAAAATGGACACCCGTGGGCTGTGTAAAATTGGTTACGTAATCACCGCCATATCTGCGTCGGAAACTTTCACACACAGTGCTGGTCGATAATTGTTGGTCAATGTGGACGAAGCAGGACCCGACAGACTAGGGTTCAGAGCTTTTCGAAGTAAGCCCTGGAAAATCTTTCCAGCTCCACAAATGGTTCCAAGAATATTTTTCGCGATATTTGATTGAGTTTCGGTTCGTCCTGCAAGCCGTGCAATGCATCTATCATACTGACTGGATCAGCTGATTCAGTGTATTCTAGCACACTTGAGATGATAGAAGTCGATCTGTTCTGCGGGTGAAAACAGCGAAAGAAGAGCAAGTCTCTCGTGTTGTGCACGTATGACACTAGTCCAACTGGATAAGCGCGGTTCTAAGGTGGCAATTTCGCATTAACCGGTTTTCCATGCACACGTATGCATGTATGCACATGTACACACAGTCATGTATATGCGGCCTAGCACAAACTTCATGTGACATTGCGGACTGTGTCGGGGGATCCATCGTTTTATGTGAGTATGGCAAATCAACTGGTTAAGGGATTCAAACCCACTATCTCTGCACACTTCCAAAACATTTTATATGAAAACTGCTAATCAATTAAGAATTAATCTATCATAATTTGATAGCGGATTTCTATATCGATAATTACTATATTCTTTGTCGACAGGTGAAGAGTACGATTGCGCACCCACTCTTCAAAGCTACACTCAACTACTGTGGATGTACAGTTGGGTTGTTTGCTCAATTCTAGGTAGTAGTGAAGTATACGATGTTGACGGCATTTGCCCGAAAATCTGCAGGCCACACACAATCGAAGTAATCTCCAGTGGTCTGGGTTCACCCATGGGCTCACAAGTTGTGTATCAGAAAAATGCTTCCGAAAATGCAATCGATGTGTGCGAACAAATCAATCACGCGCTGGCCGGGAGTTGTGAAATCAAAAGAAATACAGCAGGCGTTTACATGGATGACCTGAAGTGAGTAATCAGTTCGTGGGCTAGGATTTTTAAAGTAATATATTGAGATTCATCATATTTGGTAAGTTCAACTCCAAATAGATACTCAAAATGCGTCTGCAGAAAACACACCTGTTCACCATCAATGCTGTTTTCTGTTTAGACAGCCCTGGCCCGACGTAATTCTACTACGTCTGCATTGGCATTTTTTGTGTCCAAATTTGCTGAATGGTCGAAAGTTTGTAAGCAAAGATCCTCAGAAATCTTAAGCAACTTTGTAAAGATGCAGATTTCCTTTGAATGGTCATGATAACGACACATGTATAGAAGCCCTACAGTGCTTTAGTTGATACTTAAGGAACAGGTTGGTTCACTTTTGAGTCAGTGGTGTAGCTGACTGCGGCCGACGCTAATTATTGCATTATTTTCATGAGATAAGCTTACCTGTGGTTCATTTAGGTCGGTGTAAAGAATCTTGCTGATCAGTGATGCAGACCGAAACCAACTGATCATTATCATCCTCGAGGAAGAGAAAACTTTGGGTTTTCAATCAATTGGAAAAAGTTTGGAGCCGATTGAGGAGTTATCGTTTCAGAAGAGCTTGGGAAAAAATCGGTAGTTTTTATTTGGGCAACGTTTCGCTTTTGAAACAAAAGCTTCATCAGGTCAAGTGAGCAGGTCATCAAATTGGCCAGGTTATAAGGCAGACGGAACCAATCAGTAAGTCAGTCTTATTCACATTAACACACTAGATCAGTGTTGGGTGTCACTTGACGGCTCTTGTCGTTTAGTGAAGTTGTCAAAATCTCGGCGGCCAAGTCATTCCTCAAACAGAGGATCTACTTGACTACTCGGCGTTTATCTGATATCCATCACCACTCATGTCGGCTGAACCAAGATTTTCAGACCGTGCTCTCTCCTGTAGACTTCCAGTTGCTCCAAACCAGGGTGACAGAAGTGAAACCTATCCAAGGATAAGATTGCAAAGAGAGACAAATACGTAATTTCGAAAAGTTGCTTTCTAAGGCTCATTTTAAGCCTGAACCACCTACTAGCTATTGTAGCGTGGTAAATTTATCAAATAGACCGTTAAGTGAGAAAGAGCGCACTCTGCTAGACAAAGGCGTGAATTTCACATTGAGCAAAAGGGTGATAAGGTCGAAAGAAATAATCTCTAGCGTTGAATCTGTGTTTCAAAAGCTTCCGTCAATGGAGGCAGAGAGGCTACGGATACAGCTGGTCACAGTTCTTAAGTCCCAGCAGCCAGGAGATCCAAATATTACACCAACAGAGCGAAGAGCTTTAAACACTCTAAAACTGGTGGACAACATAGTGATTACAAAGGCGGATAAGAGTAAGGCCACTGTTGTTATGAACAAGAGTGATTATTTACAGAAGGTTAAGCAAAAGCGTTCAGCTGTAGCACCCTTCTGGTGCCTAGCTGCCATGCCATCCGAAGGAAGCACGAGGGCTGAGATACTGCCAGGTTGCCCAAGCCTAGACAGGGGAAGTCGAGTGGCGGAGGTCGGATTCGAACCACGGACCTTCCGGTCAGTAAATTTGTGCTCTAACCACTTGGGCCATCTCGCCCCGAGGTTAAGCAACACCTAGCTGAGGGTCCTTATCGGGAGATCAACAATGCGAATATTACGTCTATACTTAATAAGAGTAAAGCCGAAGTCGGGAGACATCTGCTGTCCGTGATAAACCACTTAGGGCAAGGCAACTGGAATCGATTTTACCCGAAAAGTGCAATCCAACCACGACTTTATGGCCTCCCAAAAATCCATAAACCAGAGGTTCCGGTGAGAGCAATAGTAGATGGTATAGGTTCCACACCGCATGGTATTTTAAAGCCCCCCCACCGGGAAATTTAGTACTTACCATTAAAAATTCATATGACTTCGCCAACAAAGTAGCGGGTGTCACTGTTGAACCAGATGATATCCTTGTAAGTTTCGATGTGAATTCGTTATATACAAATGTGCCAAAAGGGGATTCTTTAGAGATAGCCAAGCGACTGCTATTAGCGGACACAACCCTTTCCGAATGGACACAGCTTACGGTAGATGAAATAGTGGAAGGCATAAAAGCATGTCTGAATCTCACCCGCTTCGTCTGTGACTCAGTGGTTTATACTCAAGAACAAGGTCCAGCAATGGGATCTCCAATATCCCCGGTTTTAGCAAATATATTTATGGAAGAATTTGAACAGAGAGCTTTAGCCCGATTCCCGTACCAAACCAAGATATCCTGGTGGTATGTAGATGACACTTTTGTCTTCATGAAACGGGACAAGGTTAATGAGTTTTACAACTATCTCAATGAACTGAGTCCACAGATCAAATTTAGTATAGAGATAGAGTCGACCTCGGGTAAACTGGCCTTTTTAGATTGCATGACACAAGTTCGGGTGAAAACTAAAGACCACAGTGCACGAGAAGCCCACCGACAATGGGTCAGTTTTAAACTACTCGTCTGCCCATCGGAAGTCGGTTTTCCCCAGTATTGCCTCATCAATGTTTAGGCGTGTAAGGGCCCTGCACAGAAGAAGCTGACCGGACAGCGACCCGAATTGAGGCAATGAACAAACTTCGGGGTAGTGGACATCCAGCCAGCTTGATTAAGCGTCAATTGCGAACATGGCCAACATTAGAGTAGCTTTCCAGAGGGGGAACACTCTGCGCTCTGCATTGGTGCAATTGAAGGATCGCCTCCCGGCAAACAGAACCAGGGACTGTGTCTACAAAATCAAGTGTAATGACTGCACCAAAGTCTATATAGGACAGACGGCCAGGGAACTATACATCAGAGTCGGAGAGCATAGTAGAAAAATAAATAGGCCGCCGAGAAACGCAGATGAATATCAAGCGTCACTGAAGGACTCGGCGATTGCGGAACACGCACTGGACACAAGACACAAAATAAATTTAGAAAATGTTGAGGTTTTTAGGCGACGACTATGGTCCACGTCACACAGACTGATCGCCGAGGCGGTAGAAATCGCCAGGCATCCCAGTGTTAACAGAATAGAAAGTGTGGAACTGACAAGCATGTGGAGAACGGTTCTGTGTCAGTCGAGCTGACACGTGTTGGTATGCGGTCATCAGAAGGAAGATTCCACTTGATGCGCTTTCTGACTTAAATTTTTCCTGTACGTTGCACACACGTGTCGTTTGGAAATACACGAATACTCACCAGCCGCTAGTTAATTAAATAAATCGACAAAAACCAACAGAACTAGAGAACCTGCATTTCGCCCTCCAAAATCAACTGGGCAACATTCGTGAGGCGGACAAACAGGAACCTAATATGGAAATGGTTTAGAACCAATTGAGAAGTCATCGTTTGAGAAGAGCCTGATAAACAATCGTTAGTTTTTATCTGTTTGGTTCCCAGTCTGCCTTATAACCTGGCCAATTTGATGACCTGCTCACTTGACCTGATGAAGCTTTTGTTTCAAAAGCGAAACGTTGCCCAAATAAAAACAACCGATTGTTTACCAAGCTCTTCTGAAACGAAAACTTAGGGTTGTTCAGCTCAGTCAGTATCAATTCTAATTTGACCTCATGATACCCCCCCATTCATTCTGTCTATGTACTTTCAAGTCCTCTCGTTTTACTCATTTGTATCCGCAGTTCACCTTGGCGAAAATGTCATCCCGTCCGACACCTGTGTATTGGCGTGTGCTTGTGTGTGTATGTACGCGGCTGACCTACTTATCCATACGCGTTCTTGTCCTGTTTGCGGAGCCTGCCTTGACTTGTTTTCTCGCACCGCCAATGAGAACCACGAGACTGTCGTCGGAACGGACGACCATAACCCAAACTAAGGGGCCAACATTTCGCTCACCGTTGTTTAGTGTGCGAAGGACACTGCCAGCCAATGGCAGATTTGTGCACTTGTTGACGGTACGAACCTGAACAACAGAGGGGCCGCTGTATGTATTTGCTTATGCTTGTGTAAATGGTACCGTAGAATTTCGAGTCCAATTATTCCTTTCGATATCCGCGATTATCGGACCTACGTTGCACTCAAAGCTACGTATCTGGAACCTCAATAGTCAGGTCTGGCCAAGTACAAGGAAGACTTTGTTCACCCGGGAAGAGTAAAATACATAATACAATATCGTAGAGTGCTTAATCGGGAAGGCATGATGACGATTCATCACTGCGCCAATTTCGTGCAATTTGGTTTCAAGTAGAACATAAGGTTGACGAAACTCGGGTGATGAGCCACAAAAAGGGCATAACCGGTCATGGGCTGTAGAGGAGTTTTGAGCAACTTTATGAGTAGTGAATTACAAAATATATATGTATCGCGATATCTTAAATATCGTAGCGACTGAAACATGAGGCGGCCTGGTGCATCACATTCAGTTGCCTGGACACATCGAAAACGAGAGATTTAGCTGGGTTCCAGGCGAGTCTCTTGGAAAACTAAAGTTGTCTGCAGAAAAAGGCCTTTTTGAATTGGTCTTGATGAAGACTTCCAGTTTTATTTGGCAAAATAGTCAAGCATGATTTTGATCAGAGATCACTCGTTATATGCGTCGGCAAGAATCTGTAATACTAGAATTTATCGGCCGGCGCCAAAAGCAATTAGAGGTTTTGGGAACAGTAAACGCACGGCATTTGCCCTTCTCGTGTGCCCAAGAAACCGACTGAAAATGATGTGCGACTAGATCCAACTTGCAGAACCTTTTGTTTTTTACCTGTTGGTATGTAGATTTAACTAGATGACTAGAGTTAGTCTCCGTAAGATTATAATATCAGGTAAGTTCAAGTGTCAGTTTACTGACAGTCAGCCAGTACCAGCCAGTACCAGTTCATAGAAACAGACCCTATATTTGCAATCCCGAGAAATCTGGTGCCGTCCTTTTGGTGAGCTATGGAAGAAACGGATTCGCTAACCCTATCTACACACAATAGTATGGGGACTACATTCCTCGTTTGATTTCATATGAAACCTTCTTTCCTGTAAATTAATTGTTGGTTAAAGTCTCAATGGAGCTTATCTGCATTGCAGGAGAATTCAGATTTGCTAATGGATTTGTCTGGTCTTTGAATTCATGCTTCAACATGTATACACGCAAGTACACGAGAATGAAATCTCATATGCTTGGATTCGTTTGACCAGGTTCCTACGTCCAATGTATTTGCATGGATGAAATGGGTTTGGCCTTGCGTGTGCGCGTCCCTCTGTCCGTTGGTTGGTGGATTGTGAAAGTGTCATTGGTTGATGCATGGGTGGGAATTGTCATCTCAGACCATTTGTTTTGGGGGAGAGGGGGAAAGATGGGGTTAGGTCGCCCAGTTCCCGGCCTTAAATCCAGCCGTCACGCCAGCTAGCTGTATGGCTAGACAAACCGAAATTGGACCACTCAAAATGGAGAGAAGATTGGGCCCATCCATGCGGTTGATCAGATCATATGTCTGCCGATTTCTAGGGCTTCATCACACAGGAGTGCCTGGTTTAACTTGAAACCCGATTGGACATTGTGGGTACCAGCAAATACTGTCCGATGATTCTCATCATGAAGAGTTATAGTAAAGTAACCTAGGGACTTCTTCCTTTCCGTTGGATCTCAAGGTGCGAATCCGGCAGAATGTGTCTTCATATTCGCAACTATAGCTGCTTGTTCGTCTGTCTGATATATTCGACCGGATATTTCGTGCAAGAATGCACATTTCGTCCATATGTGCAAGATCTCTTGCTCTACAAAGGGCGTTGTCAATAAGAAGGGGTTTATTTCAAGATTTTCTCGATAGAATCGGAGGTTCTGGATTCAAAAGGCTCACTAACCGAAGCCACGAATCCTCCCGGTTTGGAAGTGAATCGTGATATCTGTTATCTACTGAGCGCCTTGGAGCAGTTCTTTACTTGTAACACTTTTCTAAGTCTGGCAACTTCCTCCCCGGTTAGAGTCGTCAAACTAAATCCTTTTGTTTCTGTCTATTAATGGGGCAATATCCGCACGCTTCACACAGCGTGGATGGGAAAAGTTACATTGCAGATGTTTATCTGCATGTGTGTATGTTCGATGGATGTGTATAGGAAAAGCATAACAGTCGACACAGTCTGCACGGTAATCTGAAGCTTGTGGAGATGATATTCCTCTGTTTCTCTTTGGTCTACAGCATAATGAATTCAGTTCCAGTAATTAATTCATCTGCCCTACGTCAAGTACCACAAGCGTTTCGCATGTTTACAGTCGGTTGTGTGACGTAAGCTACGATAACTTATGCATGGTTAGAATGGGCAGAAATAATGGGATTTTCATTTAATGTTTTTTTGTCTTGATTACGATGGACTGCAACCTAAAAGTTGAATCTAGTAGGGCAAATTATAGTTTACTAGGTTCAATCTGTGTATTTTGTCATGATATTATATATTCATGGATCGGGGACGTCCTTTTCACAATTTAATCACTCATAGACATTTTCGGCCTACATCGAGTCCGGTATTTTCAGAATTTTCGCTGCCACTCAACTGACAAGAGAAGTGACTGGATGGGAAGATGGAACGTATGTATCACGTGAGTACAGTCCGTCTTTTGGGATGGGGTTCATGCGTCCTTCCAGTGCCTACATAAGAGAGCTGCGAGTAGGTCAAACAGGGACGTGCGTTAGTGACCTCGATGTTGGTATTCTGACCTGTACATTAATTTCACTTGGAAGTTTTTCTAGCTACGTGCACGACAAAGTGATAACCAGGAACTTACTTGAGTTTATCTGTGCATCTAGTCGTCCGACAACATATCCACCCAAAACCTTGTACACAACTCGTTATTTCTCACACCTGTTTTGGTCTCCTCATACCCGATCGGTTCAAGATGCAAGTGTACCTCAAAAGCATACGAGTGGAGCGTTAGGGATGGCTACAGAGGATGCTTGCTCGTGCCCCGAATCATGGAATCCGCCAGTATATCCAATACATCCACCTGGAGAATAGACTGTCTACCGGAAGAAAACATATGTGATAAACAGGGTTCGGACGCCTGCTACTATCGTCTCCGTCATGAATCACAAGGTGATACGCTTCATCCAACCGATACAGTTCAAATATCCTACCATCCCTTCTGCCACTGTCGTGACAATTATGCTGGGCCACTCTGCAACATTACCCATGATCCCTGCAAACATCCTATCAACTTAGCAATCACGGATCCGAAAAATTATTTGAATATTCACATACCAGATGGTCCACATGTGCCGCTTTACTACGAAAATGATTCAGCCAGAGCCAGCGGGGATTGGCTTTGCAAAGCTCATGGGACAGCCAGCAAGTGCGAGAAGAATAATGCCACAGAAGGCGGTATGTGGTCTCCGAATTCTTTTCACTGATTTTTTACTGATCGATTCGTCACTTACACAAAATCAGTTTTTATAAGCCTAGTCTCAGAAATTGACCAAAAGCTTCTTAATATATTTATCCAGCCCCTTACATATACTGGACCCTTGGTATTGCAGATACAATTTATCCAGAAAATGCGGATTGAAATCAAGGTTAACATGGGTCTAGAGTGAATGTTTTACTTATGGTGTTATTCCACCAGACGTACAGCGCAAGATGGCCAAAACATTGACCCATTTTTAATCTGATGAGCTACTTAACAGTCCACTGAAAACTGGTTCATGCTTCATCGCTGGTCTGGCCCTACTTCTGATCCATCCATGGTTTCGGTTGACAGTTGTTTCTTGCTTGCTTGGACATTAGGTGGTCCGGAATGTCTTTGTTGACAGACTGTTGAGTAATGTTTTTTGGCTCCGTTCTCCCTTGTGAGTGTCTGATGTGGATAACTGTTTGTTCGTTTTATTGCCAGATTGTTGCTGGTGCTAGTGTTCGGGTAGTTTGTCATGAAATTCGGGCACTTTCGGTTGGAAACGACGTCAATTTCTGCACCAATTAATATTGAATTTGAAGACGTCCATTCTAGCTTTGCGCCTCCGTTAGTCATCGTCTAGTACGTCGCTATGCTACTGCTTGTCTATTTGTTCGGACGAAAAAGCACAACCAAAACTTTGCTTTCCAGTCGCCGACCCATTAGATTGAAAATGCAGTTGCGTTCATTCATTTGCCAGGCAGCCGTTTTCATCTTCGTTAACTCGTTGTAGAGGTCAGGGTGCCGCTGTTCTACAAAGGACTGGAATAGCATGTATAAAAGACGTACAGATGGAGCACTATTAACAGACAAGCTGGTAAACCATACGTACCGGCAGAAAACTACAGTGTTCAAGTGTAAATGCAGTTCAGAGTCGGTATTTTCCAATGAATTAAACAATATCTCGCTCCTGCTATTGCGTTCAGCACTCCCATGGAAAACAGCCAACTTGAATCGTCTTCATTCACTACTCGTTCCGTAATAGATAAGTAACGAATCGGTTGTTAAACTGGTGATGTGCTATGTTTTAATTACAGGTTAAGTAATAAGGAATTTGCATTTATGAAATATTTTTTCTGCATAGAAGCCAATTTACGGGAAACTTTTTGTTGGAAAATTTTGCGAAGCCGTACTTTTGAAACTCGAATCCATTCCATTATTTAGTGTAAATTCACCACAATAATTGCGCCAAAATAGTAAGACTATTCAAACAAGGATGATGCGAATGTCGGTCGCGAACCTGCAGCTTTTGATACATCATATACTGTTTAGTGGATCATTTTCTTATCTGAATCCTAAAAGCATTCCTAGAATTTGTGTTATCTGGTAAGTGTGGGTTAACATCCTCCAATAAAAAGCGCCACCTACAAAAACACACGAAATGCTCAAAACATGAGGCAGAAATGTCCTTCTTCGTATGTTCTGAATGGTCATGCGAAACAAGAACGTTTGTCATCTTTCCATGTTAACTCGCATGCAAAGATTTCTGGAATTGTGAACTCCGATCGCAAATTCTATGTGCGTTCCTTCGGGTGTGCGCTTGGGTAACGAACCAACTGGTGTTCACGTCGGCGGGTTTTTCTAATGGTAAAACCTTGTCATTTCCACTGAAAAACTGGTCTACAAAATGGTTAAACCACGATTGTTTTTCACCAACAGGTTTTGAATGCATTTGCGAAAGAGGTTTCACCAGAGATACAACTTACAGCAGGTATGACAATTGCATGAAAGTAATTAAAGCGGTCAACATTTCTGACGGTGATGGTTCTGGTGCGGTGATCTGTGGGGAAAACAAGTGTCTAAACAATGGAACGTGTGTACGAAAGCCGACGCAGTCGTCGACTCGATACAACGATACGTATGAATATCCGGAGCTCGATGAAGCCCTGGTTTGTCTGTGCCCACCCGGCTATTTTGGAGTGTCATGCGATGTTGTGGAGAACAAGTGGTCTGGTAGGTTTACTAATAATTTCATCCTGATCTCCGTCTTAAATTTAATATTGTGGCCCACTAAGAGTCATGAAACAGGCTCCGATCCGCACTCTCAGTCGACGGAGTCGACAATCGACCTCCCAAGCTGCTGGAATTCTGCTTGACCCATCGTGTTCTCCACCTGTTTATCTACTTTCCGTTAGAGATCCCTTTGGAGTTGAGAACGTGTCCCGTTTGACAACTGCATAGAATCCTTCACTTATATCTTGAGAAAATTTGGAAACGTCACCCGGGGTTTCGACGTGAAACGGAAGCCGACCTAAGCGAAAAATCCAAATGTACTGTACAAATAATTCATGCTTTATAAGAATCAACATCAATATGCAACCCACAGATCTTCTGGGAGAGTAAAACCAGGAGCTTTTGGTTGAAGGCCGTCTGGTCATTGGAATCCCATTATCGGTGCAACAAAACATGAAATAGCACAGTTCATCCTTCATTAACGGATTCATCAAAACGTGGTCACCCGTCCACTGGCTCCTTTAATGAAGGCTTCTCAAGCAGAAAGTACACCCGTCGTGTGCTTTATTTCACCTTCTTTGCTGCCTGCAAGGTTCCTTTTAACTCCCGATTAAGGCAGGATACTGTCGGCCGGAATGTCTGTTGTTGAAAACCAACCATCACTTTCCAAGTACTGACGTTCCCTCTCGTCCCCTCTCCGTGTTGCGCGGCAGCCCTATTCCTATTGGATGCTGCAAATAAGCCATTTCGTTTTACTTATTAGAAATCAACTGCATAATTGGATACATGCATTAGTGGATAGGTGAAAGTGAAAAAAGTGCATGTGGGTCAATCATCAATCATTCCGAATGGTCACCTGAATAAATCGCCCCATCGAATCATTCCACAGTCATTCTAGATCGTGAAAGTTGAATGAGTCAAATATGTTCAAAGTCCCTGCGCCTTTCCTTCGTGCGGGAAAATCCAATAGCCGCAGAGGTCTTAACGCATAATCTTGAATTCAGAAACTATGCAGGACACTTGAACATATGTTGGTCTGTTCCAGTTCCACAGCAATGTTTGAGTCGATTCTCGGCTTACGTTATCACTTTGAGTTGGTTGTATATAGATCTCGTTCCAATTCTTCCCCAGTCACACACTGAACAGCAGCCATAACCCGCCTTATTGCTAGTGTCGTGAACACTTGTGGCGTATTGACTGAGGACGCCAGTTGCATAAGACCAACTTTGATCGCTATCTTCGTTCAAATCAGACTTTAACAGGTGCCTTCAGAATCTGGAAGCAACGAAGAAAACGGTTCATCCACGGCTTTATGGAATAAAAATTTCCTGTGAAGATATTATCCANACTGAGGACGCCAGTTGCATAAGACCAACTTTGATCGCTATCTTCGTTCAAATCGGACTTTAACAGGTGCCTTCAGAATCTGGAAGCAACGAAGAAAACGGTTCATCCACGGCTTTACGGAATAAAAATTTCCTGTGAAGATATTATCCACCACAAACAGCTTTTTCAAACACATCTTCTTCGCAGGAATGCCCTGATTGCCTACTACAGTGCAACATTTATCTACCTGTATTTCTGCTTTTAGTTTGGGATGCTTGGAGTCCATGCGTGCCAAGTTGTGGGAATTGGCGCTACAAATACCGAATGCGATCCTGTATTGGAGATGCTGGATGCTTGGGTTCCGCTTTGGAAAGTGACCGGTGCGAGGACACCAAGTGTGAGTTGATCAGCGCGATTGAAAATGTCAGCAGTATACAGGGCCCGTCTGGTTCAGAGGGTCGCTATCACTCCGTTACCCAGTCCACCCTGCTGATCTGGATGTTGGGATTCCTATTACCGTTAGAAATGCTACTGATTTTTATCGGCGTAGTTATTCTGGAGAAGTGCATTCTTAAATACTGATGCACTTCAATGTCGGTTTGTTAAATCCGAAATGAATCGGTTCCCCTTGTACAAGTGTTCTGTTTCAACCAATCTCATGTTACCTGCATTTTGTAAAATAACAACAATCTACTGAATTCATAATCCAGTGATATACTACTTCTGGCATTTCTACCAAATCAAAAAGAGCGTCTGACCGAACACGGAATGGTATCCGGTTTCCAATTTATTGAACTTATCCGGTGTAAAACCCTCCATCCGCACAATATTATTCTATAAAATTTGAATAACATGACTGACCTACCCTAAACGTAGTGACCGATAAGAATGGATTAACATCAAATGTATACAAATTTTCTCGCTCTTTCCTGATTTTCTCTGAGGAGGCTTCGGTTTCTAAGGTGATGTGACGTTTTGAGTGCTCCTTCTACCCAAAAGTACTCAGCATTTATTCACGAGAAGTCCGTCGTTAAAATGGTTGAAATCACGACGGTGGTTTGGGTGCCTACGTCTGTGGTGTGGGTTCGTCATTCACCAGGTACTCAGGGTATATTCTGGATTGATAATTGCTCACCTTACCGTGGGGCGAGTGACTACGCTGACAGAACTGATCAGCCTTCCAGAAGCGCCCTTTTGTCGATGGTTAGAAGCAGTGTGTGCAAAGTCTGGGGGCCCAAACTGGAGTCTATTCCAATAACAGCTGGTGCATTCTATGTTGAGACTGCCATCACAGATAGCAGCATAAGTGTAGTTGTGGCGGAGAAGCCAGTACAAATTTGCAACATTCGACTTCAGAGAATATGACGAACTCATCAAGGAGGTCGCTGCCAGAGTAGTGGTCTGGAAAGTGTGGGAATGAGGCGGCGCTCTCCAACCACTTATTTCGACCCTTTGTCTAGCACTCAAAGATCAGTGATGCGCCCCAGACATCACTTGTTAAAAATGTTTAGTGTAAATGTCTTGCACACGAAGAGGGTAAGTACCACGACCATAACTAGGCAGTGGAAGGGTTTCGACGTCTAGTAAACGGACCTTTGCTCCATAACATTTCCGAGTGATGTATGACGCAGTATCGTTGTATATCACAATGAGTTTCCTAGCCCGCCTTAAGGATTGTTTGGTATGACAAAGAATTTTAATAGTAGGACGTATCCACCCGATAGAGAGCTTAAACAACAATGGCTGCTAATTTTATGTTTCCTTAAATTAGACAATATCATCAAAGTGCTGCAGAGTAGCGGTCTAGTTGTTCAAGCTCAGATGCATGTCGGCAAGCCCTCCATGTCTTTCAACTCGTTCCGCCTATTGTGCAGTTAGCTAAGAGTGGTTGCGGGTATTCTTATCTCACATGAGAGAAGATTCAAACTAAGAGATCAATGTTATGTGCTCAAACTAGAGCCGCTTACATGAAGTAAGCCTTGGAAAAAGAGGAAAGTTTCACAAATAGCTGTGATGGGTTCAGTCAAATGCATCTCAAAGAGTTAAAAATTAGGTAATTTTTCGCTAGTGTAACTTGGCCAGACATTCCATAACTTCGCGCAGGGTGGATATCCGGTTCACAAATCTCTCCGAACGGACTCCTCTACTTCTCAGGATTATGTTGGTTTAGAGCGTCTACTACGTTCGAAAGCGGCTTGCTCGTTTATGAAACCCATCCCTAATAGATTTTCGATCACTGTTCTTCGTATTTACGGAGGAGGATGAGCATACCCTCTTCCTTCAAAATGAGACATAATGATGTCTCAGAGCCTCAGGGTGTATTCCTATTTGCAAGGTAGCGATACTTATACACTCAAGAGGAATATAATCTCCTCCTGAAGCCATTCCCCTGTTGAGACTTTGACAATCGAGTTGATTTCTGCTTGACTATTCTAATAGTGGCTGGCGCTATAAGACTCCGGTGCGTTCTTGTTAGAAGACAAAGTTATTTTGATAATCATTTACATTAGCCCATCCATGTATTTTTCTTATTGAGTTTACCCACAGTATTCTCCCACGTGCATTGATCAGAAGATGTTATGGAGTCAGGTTGTTACTCCCGGTAGCATTTCACGGAAAACAGAATGTCTGAAATGCGCAGATTCAATCAGTATAGACGTTCTGATTTCAAGCGCATCAACCTGGAGGAAAATAGAAAGCACAACTTCGTTCCCTATTTGTGTTGTTTTACAAGTTACCGCAATTCCACAGACCCACTTTCGTGCATCCTGTTGTTTGATTGACTTTCGCATTAGCATGCGTTTTGTTTTCGAAGTGACCGAAGGTTCATTCTACCAACACCATTCAATCATCCTGCTCCTTGCATTCTATTGGTTACTTAGTCACGCCGTACCAGTTATAAACAAGCCATTCTACGAACAAATTACTGTCACAAGCAAACTCTAAGAACCTGTTTCCCAAGGAAAACTTGATGAAAGCTGGTCCTTGATTCCTACACAACTGGATGTTGTCATTGGAATGATGTTTGTTTATACTTGTGAAGAACACTTTTTAATGCAAACTACCATGGCGAGTCATTAGCGGTCGTTTTCGCAATAAGATGCACGAAAAGTGGGATACAAGCTTGTTACTGAGACTTAAACGATAAGATATATGAACATTGGCCATCAGTCTCCATTTATGGAGATAGAGAAACCTTTCAGCTCACGGGAGTTGTATGTTGTTTTTGATGTTCAAGATGATATTCGACGTTCTGCCCAAGAAGTTATTGTATTCACAGGGGAGGACTTGAAATAAGTTAAGTTACACGTGTCAGTTTTACACCCTTCAACCTGCGACTCTATCATTTAGTCCACAATTAACAAGGTTTAAATCTTGAATCAAAGCTAAATGCTTCATCAAAACGCATGGAATGGAGAAGAACCACAAAGTATATGGGCATCACTCTGAAATATTGATCCAGGAGCAATGAAGTGAACATCGTGACTGGAATGCAATGGCGATATATCCAGTCTTTGTAACAGATAATCTCAAAACTGACAAGACGCTCACATTCTATCTACCGTAAAAACGAATCGAGTATATAAAAATAGCCCAAAAATTCGATTTGTTAAGATTTGGAAAAATAGTGTCTGCAAAACGACGCATCATCACGACTGATTTCTAACTCAACTTCACCATTTATTTGTACCCGATCATGAAAGCTCTCCTCTAATGGCAAACCGCTGTACTTCATAGTGCTGACTAGGGTCGACTGTTAATGCAAACCTCGATAAAAGGCTCAAAGCTGGCTGGAAGCAGTTCCTCAATGACGCGTTCTAAGAGAAAGAAATTCTTAATTATATTCCCCTATATTTAAAGACTAATTTAATACTGCACGACAATGCACGAAACACTGGTGTATTAGCTCGAATAAATGGAAATGCGTAATTTTGAAATAAGGTTTTTTGAAATTGAGTAGTAGAAATGATTGAAATGCTGAAGGAAATGCAAATCAGTAAGTAAATAAGTATGAGTCCTCTGCCACCTCACAAACGTGTTTTTATCATGTTCATTTTCTCCAACTCCCTTCTGTCTGAGTGTAGTCATTCTGTATGGCCCACTTTGAAGAAAATCGGACCAGAGTTTTGTTCTTATTCTCGCCTAGGAAAGCATGTCATTTTGAAAATTCAAATTTGTAATCTTATCGCCTGACACCTGAGGTTATTTGTTAGGCGTCAGTCTGTCAAAGGATTTAAAATTTTCTAGGCCATATATGTGCTTTTGTGTCTACTGTACATTGTAGTCACAACATACTTTTGTCCATAATCAGGACTGCGACAGATGGAGAGAGTACAAAATGCCGCAACAGGTTTAGGGGTTTTGTCAGAAAATGTTGCGCAACGATACCAGATGGAGTTGCCAACTCTACTCTTTCAATATGATCGCCGTTTTACTGATGACTTGAGTACTTCCCTGCGAATAATACGAGGAACCATTAGACTCTCACTGTCGGCCGACGTTCCGCTACGTGGCGACAACCGGCGAAGGGAAACCCGTCTCGCTTTTTGAATTATAACGCCGCTACTTTAAGGTGTCTTTTAAGACTGGAAATCCCTGCGTAATGCATAAAAGTTGGAAAGATGTGTGGCGTCTTTATCCTCTGTGGTTGCTGTTGTTAAGAGGCAGTTGAAGAGACTGGGCTTAAAGAGTATTCCATTGTCCTCTATCGATACCGAGTATGTACGAATTTGCACCTGCGCAGCCAGCTCAGCTGTTCTTTTCAGCCCAGAACACAGCAAGTGATGAATCATAAAATGTGTGTGCGTGAAACTCCAAGGCTTTTGGTGTAAATGGAAAATATTCACTTGGTGAAAGTAGCACACTTAAATGCATTAGTGATTGGACCCATTTTGATGGGGACGCAATTAGATGGTTGTCAAAATTCATCAGGCACTCGTATGATGCATGAGTGAATCGCCCTTAAATTCAGGAACCCATCTGAATTCACTCACCCAGGTGACTGTTCGGCAGTCTTCGTCATTGTGAATGAAGTGAATGGGTTATACAAAAGCGTGTTTACGTTATGATGCAAATCGTGATGATAATTGAATTTTTACTTTTCGAGCCATCTCGAATGGATTGGTGGTAGCAAACAATGGCGTAGAAAAAACACCATTTTCAGTGTGATACTAGACCAAGCAATGTGTTGTTCAGCGAATATACACTCATTTGAAAACTAATTTGTTTTTTCCAAAGACTCACCTTGAACCCAGCTGAATCTCTCGTTTGTGATGTTCTCAGGCAACTGAATGTGCTACAACAGGCCGCCTCATGTTTCATTCGCTACGGTATTCGAGATATCGCCATACATGTATATCTTTGTAATGTACTACTCATACGGTTGCTGTCGACGGATTTTCATCAACCTTATGAGTAGTACATTACAAAGATATAAATGTGTTCGTTAGTTGGAGATGTGAAGCCGATTTTCGCTGCTGGTAAAGCCCATCAAACATATAGATACTCTTTATACCTTAGGTTCGAGTTACTGCTCCACTGTCGTAATTTGGACAGTCATAACTGACTACCATTAAACACGTGAATGTGTTTCCGGTATTTTGATGTGTTCACCTCCCAATGAGATCATAGCAATTATCCGTACATTGTCCGTTCATCGAGCAATCGACAACGTACAGACGCCTAACAGTTTATGATACGTGAAGCTACGTCGTTTCAGCCGATAATCCAGACAAAATTAATTAAGTTAAATCTCAAACAATCTCCACTTCAGCACCTAAGA